AACATTTCACTGCTTAAATGCTAACAGTTATGTAAATATACAAAGAACTCTATTTTCCTCTGAATTGTAAGCGACCAAAAACTCAGTTGCTGGATGATGAAAGAGATGGGCATGGCTGTTTCCAATTTGAGCAAGAAAATATCAACACAAACACCCAGCAATTACAACTTTTAGCCTATCTCTCTGAATGGCTGGGTAGACATGACAAAGCATCACAACTGCAGCTATTCAGCAAGCTTGCTTGAAGAAAAGAGGGGAGAAATGCTAATCTGTTTCTAGAAATCAGCTATGTGATATGTACCTCCAATTAATTGGAGTTCTGCAAGTGATCCAGCATCATTCGATGATATCGCTCAACGTGTCCTGACATACCATGACATGAGAAGCAGAGAACCTTCTTTGTTCCCACCATGACCAGATACTTTTGACACCAGAGAGCCTTTTCATACTTCCCTTTAACCTGTTACTAAAATTTCAGCACACCTTTAGTATATACCCTGACAACCATCCTCAGTACTGCAGGAAGATAACCATGCACCTACTCTGAAAGGGGTGGCCTCCTTGTAACTTAAATATAGAAGGAATTTCTCCATCTTTGTCTTTTCAAGAATTTCAGAAGAGACATATAGAAACCTTACAAACTGACAACAAAATATAGAAGTCCCTACATTTAAAATCACTCTAAGTTTTTTAAGTGGACCCATCAGGGTGATAGTAGAGAGGAGATGCCATGCAACCCACTGGTTTTGCCTGGTATTTGCTGGTATCACATAAGGAAAATAATGGACAGTGTTTCATTAAAGCCAAACCTCTGGTCTATTACGAAGAACAGCTTAAAAAACCAGTCAGATCTCTGTTGGGACTTCCCATGCAGTAGGAGCCAGGCTGGCTCCTTCAGAAGGTTGTGCCTTGGCCCCACATGCCAGGGATGCCCTCAAATTAAGCTCTGCGCCTGCCCAAGTCAGCTCCTGCTGCCCCAGAGCTCCATGGTGGACGATGTGTCAGAGCTATTCGAGCTGTGAGTACTCAGCAGGTAAACAGATTATTACTGCTGCCTTGAATAGAGCAGTTCTCAGGGGCTATCAGACCTTCACTGAGCACAAAATCATTTTGTGGTTTTGTCTGTATGGACAAAAACTTAAGGAAAAAAGTCTGCACTCTGAAGATCCAGCCTCCTTCAATGTACCCTGAAGAGTCTCTGTGTCATGACAAACTAATTGTATGTGTTAAGGGAAGCCTGTTACTTGGACTTTTTCCACTGTACATCAAAAAAACTGTGTTTGATTTTGAAGCACATACACTTAGAAATACTGAGGGAATCAGCTACAAAGAGACCACACAAGCTGTTCCAGCCTTCCACAGAAGTCTGGGGGTTTTTTAAGCATAAATACACAGCCACCTCTTCAGTTTGTCCTTTCATCTATTCTGAAACACTTCTTAACACACACTTCATTTCCTAACTAGCTGATCATATACAAGTTTTGGGTTTGTAGCTTTAAAGCACTAAAAAAGATGAAGGTAAAACACAACCTTGATCCTGGAACAGAAGTCAGCAAGGATATTGTGGGTGTCTCACAAGTCACAGAGCTGGGAAGAAAGAAGCCTGTCCTGACCCTATGTTGAAACCTGATCTAGTTAAAGAGGTACATGGATTACCATTTATAGCATTTCTCAGGGTCTGGGGTGAGGGGCAAGGAGGGCGGCAGACAGCTCTTGGTCTGGCTGCATGAGCCACTAGCTGCCAGCAAGGTTATAAAACACACAGATGCCGGGTGCCAAGGAAGGACGGTTTTTCTCCCCCTGTTGCAATGCACCTTCCATGCCACTGCTCCGTTAGCCACCCTGAAAGCACACATCCCTTCAGGCCACCAGCAATACTATTTGTTCACAGGCTGGGAAGAAAGGATAAAAGAGTGGAGTCTAGTGAGGGGGAAGAAAAGGCAAGCAGATTTTTGTCTGACCCTGCAGTTAATCCCCCAAATCAATGAAGATACATTGATATGGCCATGAAAGGTACTGCTTTGCTCCCCAAACCAACATGCACGTAACAGTGTGCAGTCCAGTTCTCTGTAGGTGAACTGGAAATTACTCTTTGTGTACCATGTTAATTTTTCCAGCTAATGACCCTCCTCAAAGAACAAGGTAAATTTCTCCAAGCTGGAAATTCTCTGTGACAGAGAGGTGAGTCTCCTCCAAAAAGCTAATCAGAGCTAGTTTCTGTCTCTTTCTCCAATATGGCACAGGATTTTGAAACTATGAAAAAACAATGGGCAGCCTCTATGCTAAGTTCTTCAACAACAAAAATCATCCATTCCTCTCCAATAAAACTACAAGTATTGCCACTTTCACAAAAAAAGCTTTCTGCTATGTATTTTTGGTGTTCAGCTGCTGTCTTGGTTAACCACACTTTTCACACGTTGAAAACAAAAGCATCCCTATTCTCTTATTTGGGCCTATACAGAACAAAGGCACCCAGAATTCACCTACACGACCAAGTAGGACACCTCTTTGTCATGCACCCTTTGCTGTCTCACAGATGAGAGCAGCTAAGCAAGCATGGCCCAGCCCACCAGAAAACATCAACCTTTCTTCCAGACAGGATCACACAAAACCAAGAATGTTTCATGAATTCTGGGAAGTCTGTCCTTCCTCCCCTCAGCCTTTATCACTGAAGAAATATCCTAGCTGCATACGTAAACCAGCTCTCTATATAAATGAAGTTAGTGGTTTAACTGACAGAGTACCCATTACATAGGCAAAAATATCTCTTTAATACTATAAGAAGTATAATTTGATATTCTTTTATCTAATTACAATAATACAAATTCTTTATGTATATAAACGAATAACTCTAGTAAAAGGATTCTCCATTTGTCTCCACTGGATCTTAAAGGTCTATTCTTACACTTGGAAGGTTAAATTGTCCTGCAAGTCACTTTATACTTCATCCTATGGGCTAGGATGGCCAAAAAGGACACCGATTTGTGCCAGTCAAGGGCATATTTTTCCTGAACCAGACAGTTGTTCATAAGAAACAGGGTTGAAATCCCAAAATTCATATTTCCCTCAGGCCTCTAAAGGGACATGAGATGCATTAATTTTCACCACAGAGTGATGAAAGAGAGAGCGAGCCACCACAGACTAAGGGACAGAGTCCTATTTCTGCTCCTTGACCTATGAACTAGCTTTGTTTGATTTATCCTGAAATCCTCTCTTATAAAGGAAACACGGAGAGAAAATCAGCTGGTTTAGGTATAAACTCTAGACTTTTTTTCATATCTGCATGGCCATACTTACAAATAAATAATTTTCTGTTCTTTGCATTACAACACATTCTAGAAAACATAAATTTCTTCTAATATCTAGGCAAACATGACAAAACATAATGATGGAGACTGCTGAAACTAAGAGTTGGAAGGGACCCAGTAAGGATCATTCAGTCCAATTCCCTGCTCCTCACAGGACTACCTAAAACTAAATCATATGACTAAGAGCATCATCCAGATGCTCCTTGAACTCATGACCACTTCCCTGGGGAGCCTGTTCCAGTGACCAACCACCCTCTCATCAAAGAACCTTTTCCTTAATGTCCAGCCTGAACTTCCCCTGACACAGCTTCATTCCATTTCCCTGTGTCCTATCACTGGTCACCAGAGAAGGGAGATCAGCACCTTCCCCTCTACTGCCCCTCTTGAAGAAGTTGTAGATAAAAGAACGTTTAAAAAATCTAGACTGATCCAGGATGAACCCCATGATTATTTTTTATCAGTTCCTTTAATTTAGGGTGCTTGTGTCTACAATAGAAATAAATATATGAACAGAGAAAAGCTGCACTCCCTCAAGAAGCAATATACATGTCCCACAGCAAAAGTAGGGAAGTAGGTTTTTAACTTAGTTAATACAAATATAAAACTGAAACAGCAGGACTCTGGCCTCTAAACATGCTGTGGCCTGATCTGACAAAGAAAACTGCTCAGACAACAGGGGAAAATTATTTGGAAACATTATTTCATGGAATAGCGTCTTTCTGTTTTTCAATGTAATTGAGAAAATTTCAACCATGAATTTCAGAGCTCATCTCATGGATCCAGCTGGGATAAGCAATCTCCAAAATACCAGTGTTCAGCCTACATTTATGCACCTGTTTGCTGCATGCATGAATTGGTTCAGAATAAAAACAGGAAACATCAACATGAGAAACCATTTTCTTGCCCACCTCCTCTACACAAAGGACCATTACTGTGAATTTTCTCTAAGGATTCTTGCATGCAGAGAAGAATGTATGTGAGGGGAGAATACATATTGCCTGCAATGCCAAACAGCAAAGCTCGCTGAGAAGGGTAGAGAAGGGAAAGATGGCATCTGCTCATTCCATCCTTGACTTTGTAGTTTCACTTGGTTATAAAAGCATTTGCAAACACAGTTACAGTGGGGAAACCTGTAAATGAGATTTAGGTCCCACTGCCTTTCAGTGAATTATAATGGCCCTTCACCTTCACAAACAGATGCTTCTGAAATTTCTACCTTGCAAATGGAAGTTTTCACATCTCCATGCAAACCGATTAACCTGAGTGCTTGGAGGTATGCCAACTATCCAAGTTCAAGTCTCCAAGCACTGCAGGTCTCAGGTCAGATACTGGATTAGAAACACAACTGGCCTGTTGAAATTTTGGATTATTACGCTCAGAGCACAAATATGATGGCTGCCTACTGCAACAGCTTCAGGGAAGAGCTGGCAGAACTAGCACCACTCTGCTTTCAGCGAAGACAGAACTGTTCAATCTCCGGGCTGAAGATTTCTTAGAAAGGTGAAAGGGAAAGTTTGGCTTTTGAGGTTTATACACCAGCTCTTGTAGCAGGTATTCTTCAATGAGACTACAATGTCTCATTTCTACCACTCTCCTCCCTCTAAAATGCAAGGATATCCATCAAGCAACAGGTAACCATAACATATAACACACCTGCCACACAACACGCAACTGTTTCCACCTTCAGCTTACCTGTTTTATGCATTGCAGTCGGTCATTGGTCTGCTGTATGTGCCTGTCCATAGAATTCATTTTTATTATCTCCACTTTCTTCTACCTGAAAGCCATTAAAATCCCTCGATCTGCAAGACAAAAAAGAACAGTAAAGATCACTATACACAGTCCATGTGTTTCTACCACCTGAACAGCTGAGCAGAGATGCTTGTAAGAAACACCACAGCACACTGTGAGATAAAATAATAATCTCAGTAACAATGATGGTCTGGCTTTTGCAAGAACAAGGGCACGGGGATTCTTCCTAGTCTTCCTCTAAGAGAAAATACCATCCATAAGTATTAAATTAATCAGATATGGCAAAGTATTATATGGCCAAAAATAATACAAATGTGTTATGAAGGCTCTGGATTTCTGTACTGAAAATAAAAGCAACAGGTATTCTTTGGACTCTCCTCCAACTAGCAGATCTATTTAACGAGCCCTTGAAATTGTTAGATGACAGCAAGTGAAGGACTGGAATTCACAACTCAACCAAGACTTCTGAAATGACTAACGATTACAGATGAACAACCTAGCGTATATCGAAGAGGCCTGATGTACACATCAAAGGGCTGACCAGCTCCTGCCTTCTAGGAAAACTGGGCTCTTTAAGGTACCATAGCTGAAGAAACTACTTGTTAGTTCCAGAAAAACATGTTCTGAACTGTCTAGACCCATCTCTAACAAACTGTATAACTTAAGGCAAATTAAAACTTCCTTGTGACTTCAAAAATTTTTAGGAAATGGAGGCTCAGAGTGGTGTTAGGAGTTTTAATTCATGTTGCTACAGCTGTATCAAATCATCAAATGAAAACTAGCAACAAGTTACTGTGATCTAAAAAGCAAACCTGCAGTCCCCTAAACCCACCACTGATGCTGGTTATGAGTTATTTTTGTGGATGCAGCTTGGTACACACTGGTGCCATCAAAATAAGCCCTGCTCCGTGTATTCATTAACTCTTTCTCAGAGCCATGCTTTACATCATGCTCCACCATCACATGTAAATGGCTCTTTGTCAAGATAACGGTATGTGTCTGGAATCAAGAACAATGCCTGGAAGAGGGAAAACAGTAGGCGCTAAATCAGCACACACACATCATGCCGAATTCATTATTTACCTCTCCCATATCTCTATGTTCAGACCTGGGTGAAAGGTTAGCCACAGCATAAACAGCTCTACTGATCTGTAAGGAGGGAATGGCCAAAATGCCACTCAAACTTGGACCAAGAGCAAGACAAGCACAAGTAAACCTCCTGGTGTGGGCATGGTTTGCATTACACTGGGCCCCTTCCACCCATTCACTCTCTGGCCTTGCCTTATAGTTTTCCTGAAGTGGCAGAAGAGCAGATCATAACAACAGAAGCCAACAACTAATCAAAAGTTTAAATCTATAATTCATATTACCAAACTGCTTGCACTGTGACTTCTACTTATGTTTGAAGTAGAACTGCATGAGACTCCAGCCTGTACTTAGTAAGCTGGGCAGTTTTAAGTGCTTGTTTCTAGAATTCACCTCTCAGTGGCCCAGAGATGTTTCACATATATATGTATACTCTGCTGATTCAATTGCTTTCACGGCATCTAAAATGGAAATAAAACCATAGATACTGTGCATTGGAACAGGAAAACAGTCTTTGCCTACAAATTCCTGTATCCTTTCACTACAACAGAGCAGTACAGTCCAAGGAGTTGTATCCTCATGCTCACAAACAGGGAGTGGGCACAGCTTCAGATATATATACCCAAATGCTGTATTTATATAATGCTTTATACTAGCACAAGCAAGGTTCTGGACTCACACAGAAACCTCTCCCTTAATAACCTCTTCAGTGGCGCTGGGCAGTTGATTATTCAGAGAGCTGCTGATGACAGAACTCCTTTCCACTCCCTACATACAAATAAGAGAAAGCAAATTTTTCAGACAGTTGTTTGGTTAGAGAAGCTGGCTGCTCACCACTCCTACTACATGTGACTCAACATCTCTTCAGTTAAAGCACCTCTACACATCCAGCACCAGCCATACTCAATCCCCAGGAGAAGAGTCTTCCCCTTGGTGGGAACCCTGAGTGCACAGCTGTCACAGCGAGACAGACTCCAGACCACAGCATCCACGTGTGTCCCACACACCCAAACCGCCTGAGATTTCTGTACCTTGCTGATAATGTTCTTCCATGGCTCCTATCGGATTAGACTCAGGGAAAGAAATCTTTTCTGCTAGACAGCTAAATGAGGTCTTGTAACAGCAGCTCAAGCTCCTCATCTCCACACTCTAGACACAAGAGCATTCAATAAAGCACTCCTGTCAATAAATTATAATACTTATGAAATGGAAAAGCCAGTTTCACATACAAGTATTATTGTTTGATTATGACACTGCCACCTTCTCAATAGAAAATGCCATCAAAAGGTCCTTTGGCAAATGTAAATTGATACATTTTTATTAAAAGCGGGTAACACAGTCTTATCTGCCTGTAAGACCCCCAAACAGACCTCAGTAGTCATGAAGTTTAATCTCTCAGTGGACAGCAGAGGTATTTATCAAGAGATAAGCTAGCCCAGACATGACACCATTTCAGCAGTGATCCATCTTACAAGCTGGGACACATTATCTGCATTTTAACTGAATATCAGGACAGAGAGAGAAGGACATGCTGAAAACAAATACAAACATATACACACACATAGATTTTTGTTGAAATATTTTAAGAAATGAAAAAACTCAGGCTTTTTTTTTTAAGAAATCAGGACATTTTTGCTTAATGATCCAGTAAGCAACAACTGTATTTCTAGTTGACTTTGTAACACAATTTTTGTCTATTTTGGCATTACCTATTTAACCTCCTCAGTGCCATAGAGCCACATAGAGAAACTGGGAGCCAAGTTGAAGAGAATATCTATCCCAAGCAACAGCTATATTGACATACTCTATACTGCCAGAAAACACAGTTTTTAAGTAAAGCCAGACACACCAGCACTCAAGACTCATGGCTAGTGGCATCAGGAGCTGCCTCTGATGTTACTGGCAACATACTTCAGGGCTGAGTGACCGAAGATAGATTTTACAGAGACAAAGACAACGACTTGCATTCATGTACTGTCACTCATGCCAACAAACTATCCTGCACGTTGATTTATGAACTGTACGTATGATACCACCCCAATTCTCTGCCTTCCAGTTAGCCGTAACAAAATTAAAGGTTGCTATCAGCTACCTGAACCACAGCTTACTATTGCACTTGTTCAAATTGTTATTTCTCCCACACAGCATAGCTTCTCAAAGCCCATTTGAAAAAGCAGAGGGCAGAACACACAGAGCTAACTTGCACAACTGAGCAGGAAACCAACAGGACTCTTGGAGGCAGGACTGGGAGCACAATCCCCTGATCTCCTACACAGATATGCCATAAAATTTCTGTCATTAACTGATCAAATTCAGTCTCAGAAAAAGTTCTGCTCTTAAAACCCAATGGCTCCCACTGAAAAGCGCTCTCTGACTCTCACCCTTCCCCTAGTAGCTAGAAGTATTTTCACTTCCATCCTCAACTCCACTTGCTCTCACATCGGTAGTGCTCTCTGGCTAAAACAGTCTCTGCCCTGCCAGTCTCCCTCCACCTCTTCCCCCTCATTGCATGGACAGACACCGCGGTGCCAGCCCTTTACTGCCACCAGCCCAAGCTCATTTATTCTATTCTGGTCCAGAGAAACCCCTCAGTCCACTAACTCCCTGGGGCAGTAAACATTTGTTGCATGAACTAAACAGCCAAAACTGTATGCATGAAGCCTCACCACATACAATGACACACTTTATACTTGAAATAACCTGCCTCACACCCACAAGACTAATTTTTACCTTTCTCTCAGATACATTACAAAAGCATCAAATAGAATAATTTTTTCAGTGAGTATACTAGCTCTAAGTCATTTCTGCTATAAAAAACATGGAGCTCATTAGTGGGAAACCATTATTATCTGAAAATTATTCTTTCACAGGCCTCAGCAAGAACTAAAAGATTAAATGTGGAAAGCGAAAATTATCATATGGATCTTAAGTTTTACCAAAGCAGAATAAGGGTTTTGATACCATATCATTTTGTGTGGGAAAAATACCAGCAGAATTAAATTTTCAGTAACTATGCCTACTACAACAACTACTACTCTACATTGGTCTTGTTCCCCACATGCACCCCCACATCCTGAAATTTAAAAAACCACTCTTTTTGTCAATCTCATGCTGTTTTAAAGGTAGCAGCAAGAACATCTTACTTGAAAATAATGGTGCTTAAGATACAGAAAGGCTGGCAGGGCCGAATGAGAGCATACTTCGGTTACGTGCCGAGTGCTTATCAGGTCACAAGACTTTGCAGGGTCTCTTTCTTGCCTCTGGTGTACCTGCATTAGAAACCATGCTAAGATTCAGGCACTGCGAGCAGCTCGACAGACAGCAGGGGATGTTGCTGATCAGGATTAAGGATACTGGCAGAGTGGGATAGAGAAGGGAATTTTACCTGGTGGTTCATATCAAATCCCCTCTCTTTGGAGCACACATTAGCCAGAAAGGTCGTACACTACTGCTTTATATGCTAATTCCATGCAAAAGGATAAACAAAAAAATAAATGCTCCCAGCACCTTCTGGTAATTCAGCAATAAAAAGTCCCAGTCTTCTGCTGTCTTTTCTGAGGTAAGACCCAATCTCTCTCTTTCTAAAAAAAAAAAAAAAAAATTATCTGTCTTCCTTCTTCCCTCCCCTCTAGCATGTGAATTTATAGCCCTAGGCAGTAATTAAAAAGCCCTCATTTGCATATTTATGATGTCTCAAAAATGGAGAATGTGTTTTTTTAAAGGAACAGATGTATTGACCTGTTAAGACTTTTTTTGAATCTTTTTTCTTAGACCATTACTACAAAACCCTCTTTAATACTGAAAAAAATGAAATTATGTAGTAGCTGTAAGAAAGAGAATTTCACAAGTTTCTCCTACACTCTGTGTTAGTTGAAAGTTCATATCAGGAGTTTGCACTTATTGTATCAGAAACTGGACTTCGAATAATTCATTTAAGAAGGACAATTTAGTAAAACATGGTCCC